CTGTAATCAAATTGGGTTCAAAATTAAGTCTTCTAAGTCTGCATGATATGTAAATATATATATTGTACTTTTTTTTTTTTTTTTTTTTTTTTTTTTTTACAATGTCTCTTCAGAATGGCTCTCCACAGATTATTTTTTCTTTATTATCTGTGAATTGCCATGCACTCTTTGTAATGATTTCCTGTTATTTTCTCCATAATTTTGAATTCAGAAATTTTTTTTCTCTTGGACTGATTGTTACCCAAGGCTAGAGAGCCTAGTTTACCCTACTATTTAACCCACAGCTGGGAAATGTTGAATTACTATCCATAAATGTGTACTCACAAGAATAGTCAAACTATAAAAATAACCATAAATAGTTCCTCCTTCTGCTTTCCAATTATTTGTCATAGATTTGCAAATGCTTCTTGCAGAAGTTTTTTGTTCCTTCATTCTCTTGTAGTATCAGAAAAACTTATTTGTCTGGTGCTTTGTGATACAAAGCCTCTACAGAAAGTCTCCTCTCTGCCCTGTCCCCAAGTACTTCTTATGCCTCACTCCAGCCTATTGCTTCCCTCTCCTCCATAGTCCTTCGCCATGTCATTCTCAGCCTTTTCTACCTTCAGCAGCCCAGGTCAGTGCCATATTGTAGTCATGATTTGGGTCTTGTCTTAAAGTGCAGCTTCACTTCAACACTCATGGGTTCTATAGAGTTCTGACATCTTCATATGGTCTTGCTATCTAATATTGAGGATTTTTTTTAAGGTATTACGAAATAGTTCAATAAGCTTGTCATCGCCAAATACATTTTCCAGGTCTCAAAACCATATAATAGAACAAGGCCATGCAAAATCTTATAAAGCCTGATGTTGGTTTTTCTGCTTAAGGAAATCAGTAATGACATCAGTATTTTTACAGTGCTTGGAAGCACAGGCTATTTTTTATTTTTTTTAAATGCTTGCATCCTCCTTTGGTCAGAAAACCTACCTGGAGAAAAAAAAACAAAAATAGTTTTATGGCACATCAGCTCTTCCATAATAGTCATGCAGTTCGAAACAAATCTCCAAGTCAATTCTCAGAGCTTTCAGGCCATATCATGTTGAAATACCAGTCCACATGCAATCGCCGAATTTAAGCAATGTTGAGGCTTGTGAATAGCTAGATTGGTAACTGCTTGGGAATACCAGCTTCTGTAAGCTTGGATGTGCAGGTGGTGTAATGGATAATGGCTCAGAATTGTTAGTTGGAGAGCCAAGTTCCAATTATGGTTGAGTTTGTTATACTCACTTACTTTTCCCTTGGAAAAGATACTGATCCCCCACTTTCTCCCCCCAATCTATAGGTTAATTAGTAAAACTTGTATCACTAAACCATTGTTATTTCCCCAACTAAAAAATCTAAAAAGTATTTTCTGGCTTTAAATAACTTGAAAAGGGTTGATAAGACAAAAAATCAGTTTTCAGGTACCCATCCAAAGTTTCAAGATCTTTTATAAAAATTTGGTCGAACTACAGTTTTCTCAAGAGTGATATAGAACTGTAAAAGGCATAAGCATTTAATTTCCTGAGGTCTTCTCCACATTTGGTCATTCATTTGTTTGATCTTTATAAGTCTCTTAGCCAGTCATCTGTATCCTGATAGATATAAGCCTCTCAACTATCAACTGGTAAAATGATTCTAATAAATTTATTTATAAATATTTTTTCATACTTTGAGGAGGAGAAAGTATAAAAATATGGCAAATACCTCTCTATTGCTCTCTCTCTCTCTCAATCTCTCATGTGCTATTAATTGAAATTAGGATGCAAATTCTTAATGGTACAAAGCTTATATTACCAATAAAAACAAGGTAAAATTGTTTGAAAGTAGACTTTCTGTTAACTCACAAAAAAAAACCTACAAGAGACAGATACTAGGCCATCTTAAGTTATGCCATTTAACTTCAAGGAGAGAAGTAAATCTAGTTGATGTCTAGAATTAAAAAGATTTCACAATCCTTAAGTGAAAAGACAAACATACAACACTTAAAATATTTAATCTGACATATGAGAAAGTGTTACTGCAGACAAAATAAAGGGTTGGCCAATTGGTGAATCCAAAAGGCTCTGCAAATGTACCAAAATTGTTACTTGACATAATTTGCCATGCCTGCCTGCCTGATCCAAAATGGGACATGTTTTAAACTGTTTTATCTAATTTTTATTAGTAATTCTGTTTAATGAACCAAATCCCCATCTTACAAACATTTCTCATAATAATAATAATTTAAAAATAATTCAGCAGACAATGTTATTTTATTTATGGTAACTGGATTTTTGGTGATTGCCTTACTCAGTTTCCATCATTCAATATTGTACATCAGAAAAATATTGCTTTTATTGCAGTTACTATTGCTTCTCGGCCTTTTGGCTGAGATCAAAGTGTAGTATCTATTCTTAGCTTAATCCAATTCTCTCTCTTTTTCCACTCTCTATTTCCCCTTTTTTTTTCTTTCATTTTCTTACTGAAACCGAGAAGTGTCTTTTCCCTACTTTCAACGAAATTAAAACTGAATAGTTCATTATTCATGTAGTATTGGCAGGACGTAGCGGTCGTGCGAACTAACACAGAGCGGGACAAGTATAATTATAATAGGATGGCTTAACATTTGGAACTTATCACAAATCTTCTTTGATAAAAATTTATGAAAAAGTTGGCCGCTTGGGAGGACTTACACCACCTTTTTCTTTCTGGCAGTTAATTTCAATGTGCTTCCACATCTTCAAGCAAAATTATGGTACTTTTCGATTAGTTATCGATTTTACACTAATTGGAACTGATTGTATTTGAGTTTAATAATCATAGACAAGTATTTAGATGATTGCATATTTTTCTTAATCACTATTGTCTTTGATGCAAATACTGCTACTTCTTGACTCACCTTTTGTCATTTTCTGTGCAAAATATACAAGCAAAAATATTTAAGGCCTGAAAACTAAAATTTTATATATAAGTCATATATCAAAGGATACGTGATCGCCTAAGCACATATCATACATGGCACGTATCATACATGATACGTGCCATGTATCTTTTGATACATGACTGACGAGGCAGATTTTTTTCCCGCAGTAGGTTGCCATTTCTTTCTGTGGTAGCCATCAAAGGATACAGAACCCAGTCTGTCCTGCTATTTACCCATAGCTGGGGGGAGAATAAGAGGATTCATACCTTTCCCAAGGGTATTAGCACGTAAGTGAATGTAATGGATTTGACTGGAATTCAAACTTGGCTCTTCGATTCCTCAGTCCAAGCCGCTATACATTACTCCACTGTGGCTCCCCCATATACATATACAATTACAAAGTTGATATAGATGGAATAAAATTCCGACAGCCCAAAACACTAAAAACTTTAAAACTCTTTATTTTTCAATCAATACCATCTCTTGACAAAACACCAGAAGTGTTGAAACAAAATGGCTATTTTTGTAGTGATGTTATAACATGCTTATGTTATAATTTTGAATATATATATATATATATATATATATATATATATATATATATATATATATATATATATATATATATATATATATATGATTTCATAGGAAAAATTTAATTATTGCCTTAAAAATATTTTCTGGCTTTAAATAACCTGCAAAGGGTTGCTAAGCCATAGAAAATGAATGTGCTGTGCTGTGTGTCCCTTCAGGAGGTAAGTGATCATAGCTCTCCATAACTTTTACTCAGTGAGGTTTACACCAGTAATAATTGGTGAATTTCACTTAATATGAACTTTCTTGCTTCTTACTGAGTGAGAGAGAAGCATACTAACAAATGGATGCTGGGATAGAAATATATGAAGCCCATCTTGACATCCAGTCTGGTAAGAGTATACCAGGCACATGCAGCACAGCCAAATATGTGTGATATTGGTGGCAGGTTTTGATAAAAGCAGTGTATAACTTTTCGGGTGTGACCCAGTTCGAAAAACCTTCAGGTCAGGTAACTGTGTTTGTTGAAACAGTTTTTAATTGAAGATGCTCTCAAATATCTAGATGTGGCTCCCAAGTTGCCTTGGCTGCCACCTCCTTCAAACTTAGGAAAAAAAAAAAACTCTCTCAACACCCAAGCATGTTGTTCTCCCACTACTCTTGCTGAACAGAGATGCAATGTTTTTGTTCATACTCATTGCATTTTCCCCACCTATAGTCACCTGGTAGCTTTAAATGCAGATCAAGTAACACAACAGATCTAATAAATAGATTAACACTGTCATTGGTCTTCAGATTTGCATCATGTTTATTATACTTATTTGTAATTAGGGAATATTCAATCCAGTCATGCCTGGTGGATTTTGCAGGTCTTCTTTACAAGGTTTTTCAAATTATCATACCATAATTCTGATTGTTCCTTAATTAATTAGCACATACATTAGACACTGCCAATACTTCATAAATAATGGACTATTCTGTTTTAATTGTGAAGAAAGATGGCAAAGATATAAAAAATGATTGTTGGTTTTAGTGAAAAGAAAACAAAAGGAGATGACAATGCTCTCATGTGTTTAATGTCTGCTTCACGGAAATGGAAAAACTTGTCACTTTCAAATCTCTTTATTTGTACTCTCTTACTTCTTTAAATAATGCCCTGCATTCATATTTAGGATTCATATTGCAATATTTGGTTAAAGTTGTCAAACTCAAATATTTAAGGATGTAATTGGGAAATTTCCATGGATATTTTATTGTCATAGAACTCACGAGAAGCTTCTTCAATCATTAACTTGTTGTGATTCATCAGAACATTCAAATAGAACAATTGTGAAATTGGTATTTCTAATTATTATTATTATTATTTAGGTTTTACTGCAGTATTAAAAGTATTAAAATGCAATATGATAAAATGCAGTAGTAATGGAGGATTATATTAGAAATCAAATGACAGTATGACTTTTCGGATCTCTCATACTCAAATATTTTATTCAATTTTAGTAATGCTGTCATCCAAATCATACCAGTTCTTCCAATGCTTATAACCATAACATGTTGAAACACCGGTTCTCATATGATCACCAAAGTTAAGCAACATCAATCCTGGTCAGTAACTAGATGGGTGACCACTTGGAAATACTAGGTGCTGTAGGAGTTCCAATTCCAGTTAGGTTTGTTATATTCACTTACATGCAAATAATCTTGGGAAAGGTATGAATCTACCCCTTCTCCCCCCATCTATGGGTAAATTAGTAAAATTATAATTTGTTACATAGCAGTAACCAGTTACCCTTCAACAGTAAACAGCTTATATCACAAGTGCACCTTTATCTCCAGATTCAACATTCAGCTATTTTTTTCCCACTGTGTTGCCATCTTCTCCTGAAATGTAGCATTTCCTTTCAGGATGTGGGCAGTCATAGCTCTCCACAATTTCCTATAGCTCAAAGTAAGGCCTGTCATTTTGTTATCTGTCCTAATCCCTGTTCTGTTAGCCATTTACACAAGTTCATTAGGTAGGTTATGCACGGCTTTCCTCTGTCCCTCTTGTCTTGTCTTCATACCAAGATGGGTGACTGCTTGGGAATACCAGGTACCGTAAGGTTGGATGTGCAGGTGGTGAAATGGATAATGGATCAGAATTGTTAATTGGAGAGCCAAGTTCCAATTCCAGTTGTGTTCGTTATATTCACTTACACTCAAATACTCTTGGGAAAAGTATGAATCCACCTCTTCTCCCCCAGCTATGGGTTAATTAGTAGGACTTGTATTAGTAAATCATTATTATCCCCCTAAAATTCTTAAAATCTGAAAATATTTTTTGGCTTTAAATAACCTGCAAAAAGTTGATAAGCTGTAAAAAAACAAAAATCAATCAGTCAATCCAGTTCTTGTAGCCTCTTCGGGAGGTGTTTCAAATTATTAAACATTTCTGTCAGTTGTCTCTGGTAGATTATACCGGGGATCAAGTGAAAATAAGTGTAGAGCAATCATGTAGTCAAGATAAACACTCAGTTGTGGAGAAAGCTGAGTGAATAATCACTCCACCTTGAGAAAGAGAGATATTTATGGTGCCATGAGTATAAGTTGCAGGAATATTGCAGCACTTTCAATGGGAATCTTTTTTCAGTCATTCTGTTGTTTGGATTAATTCTTTTAATTTCTCAGTTTGTTCATTTTTTAGCTTTTCTGCAAAGCTCCTTACAAGCATTCCAAGTTCTCCAACAAAAATTAACATAATTGTCATAATCGTTTTCTGTCCTCTAGCAAGATCCAGATACTTAATTTTCATTTTATTTGAGAATATGATAGTTTAGCATGACTGAAAGTGCTACACCTTAGCAACCCACTTTTTGCCGCTGTTCCATGAGCAGGTGTTCTACTCATAGCAGATGGTTGAGTTCATGTTTCAATAATAGTGTAGAGAAGTTTAGAATGTCTTTCTACACAATAGAAATACAGATTATGAGGATATGCAGGATAGATAATTGTTGATTATTGACCTAAAGAGATAAAAATTGAATGGTTGAAATTGCAAGCGACTGATTGTGACTAAGGTCTGCTCAGCATAGTTATAGTATAAACCGCAGAACAGGCATCTACAATAGGGATTGGCCAGTCACCCTAGTAGAGAGGTTTCCTCAAATACAAGTGGCCAGCTATTATTATTATTATTATTATTATTATTATTATTCATATATTGGTATAAAAGCATTTAATTAGTTCAATGTTTGGTAAATATTGGCAGTTTGTTTTAGTCTGTATTTACCTAGTAGGCTTCTCCTTTTTATAGGAGACCATACACCTCCTGCAAAGGATGTGTATTCTTGGCCCTGTCCCCACAGCAGTCTTGATTTGATTGCTTCCTAAAAAATACCTGGAAAAATATTCTGTGATTCATGTTACTACTATTTCACCTAAAAATGAATTATTTATTTTTGTTTTCTTTTACTCCAAGCAGCTGATAGTAATATGTTTTACATATTGCATCATTTTATCATTTAAGAGCTGAGTGCTTTGACCTAAATGTTTACTGGAATGAACTTCGAGCAGTTTAGAATTATATGCATCTAAGCAATAATTATTTTTCTCTAATTTTAAAAATATATTTTTTCCATTTAATCACCTATTAAAATGAAAGTACAATTTTAATTCCTGACTAATGAGATTCAAGTTTTAAAAAATAATGTTTTGCAGGTGTTACTTTTTTTTTTTTTTTTTTTTTTTGTTTACACAATACGAGGCTCAAAAGTCACTCAAGGTAGAGGGTTACTGTGTGGTGTTGTATTAGTTTAAGAAAGGGCAAGAAGTGAAGTTCTTGAGGTTATGCAGAAAAGGTAACAGCTAATTCTAGACTTGAATAGGTCAAGATTTATTTAGTGACTAACATTTCAGTTGAAGACATTAGAAGTATAGTTTGGAAGTAAACTTTAAAAGAAACTGAAAACTCAATTCTAAACAGGAAACAAAGGACAAATCTGTATTTCTGTTCAAAAGTCTGGGGAGGAGTGTGAACCGGATGATAGGCAAACCTATGTAGTCCTTGGGAAAGAAGAAAAAAAAAAAAAATAATTAGTGAATAAAATTTCAGTGTTCCAGCAGTAATGTTAGGAGTATAAAGTTGGAATTTTAAAAGAAACCAGAAACCTAATACTAAACAGGAAACAAGGAACAAACCTCTACTACTGTTCAAAAACTAGAGGGGGTGAATTTGGCATATTCTGTGGTAATATTATTCTCTCCATTTTTTTTTTTTTTTTTTTTTTTTTTAGTTGTTGTGCACATATTTATTTTTATCCTCAATTGAGCTGTGAAGAGCAAGTTAGCCTCCATCCTTTTGTCTTTTCAATCCACCACTTTGCACTAAGTTTTTTTCTTATATTTGCTCTTCTTCCCCCCTTTGTTTTTTATATTTGTCGATATGCAGATAAACCTCTCACCAATGAACTAATAGTGAGTGGGAAGAGGTGGTCTGTTAAATCCAGTTGTCCATAGATGGGAAGGGATTATTTTTGAGTTATAAAAACACTTTAGTAACTACCAGTAGTTATGATAATAATGTAAGTACTATAAACATGTATATATGGCATAAATAAATATATACTGTATATATATATATATATATATATATATATATATATATATATATATACACCATACACCTCACACACTTTTGCGACCAAAACTCCAGCCTCTAACTTAAGAAGCTCTAAATTGTCACTAATACTTCGGTTTGTACACTTCCTTTTTACATTTTCCTTCTGCTTCAATGCTATGATGAGGGCAGAACAATTAATATATTACTCAAAAGATAATAGATTTCTCACAACTACTTTCTCACGCACACACTAATGTATTGTACTTTATATACTGTACACCCATCTTTGTATACAATTGAGAGGCCCACCACCTAGTGGTCACTTTGAGAACTAATACAACTCGTTTCACTAAGCCTGCAAATTTTGAAATATATCACTGAAGATTTGGAAGTTGTTTTTTTTGTTGTTTTTTTTTCTTCAGATTTATAAAAAAATTTTGCCTGCAGATTTTGTCTGTTGCATCAAAAGTCTGTTTATGGGGGTCCATAGATAAGAAGCTTGTCTGTATTTATATATACTTTTAAGTGTCTGTTTTTAATAAAATTTTTTACCCACCATAGATTATTTAGGAATTTCTTCTATTATTCTGCTTACTTACACCATTTACATACAGAATATTGTTCTCATCTTTGTTGTTGTTTTTACATTTTGGCCATTGTACCGTCCAGTCTTTGTCAGTTGCATGCCAATCCAGGTAACCTACAGGAAATTTTGAACTGGACTGTTCAGTTTTACAAACTAAGATCCAAAAATGAGATAGATCTTGTAGTTTATGAAAAAAATTCAAAATCGATGTTAATACCTCAAATTTTGTGACAAACTTTAACAAATTTGCACAGCTATAGAAAAACATTCGTATATCTCTCTATAAATTTATAGAATCTTTGTTTTCTTCTTCCTTTTTGCTGTTTAGTTCAGCTATTGTTTAGACTCTTCTGGTTCTTAGACAAACCAAACTATTTTTATAGCCATAAAATGGGCTCCAAAATGGAGCATAATTGATTCCTTCTTGGGGTGTAACTTTCTATCTCCATTGGTTAAAATATCAACATCAAGTATCTCTTTAAAACACGCCATTTTACAAACTTCATTTTTGTGGGTTATGAAATAGACAAGATTCTAGGAGCCAATATTACAGAAACAACTTATATTAAATATTATTCTCTACAAGAGACAGTGTCTTGGAGAGTGTAGAAAATATTTAGTATGTGTATCAAATAATGATGCATATAAATATTTGATACATGATACTGTGACATATGTGTCTTTGGACTGATTCCAATTCTCTCAAATGCCAGAATGTTACCAACAAAATACTGACACTACCAAATTCTTGATAATGACTGAGATGGATGAAAATCCTTGAACAAAACAAAATAAAAACGAATTAAAACAAACAAACCTTGTCAGTTAATTTTAACAAAACTTATATTTTTTTTTATTTATTTTTGTTCAATGATCCAAAACAATGAAATACATTTTATGAAGAAATAATTGTTGGTGTATGTAAATGTTTTTAATTTATTTTTCTGAGATTTAGTCTCATCTTAATTGTTTGTTTGTTTTTTTGTTGTTTTAATATCATTTCCACTAACTTCACCTGGAGCCAGAAATTGAACAAAAAGGCTTCCTAACACCCAGTTTATACAATAATACTATAAAAAAAATTAGTTATCATACTGCAAAGAAATACTAATTCAAATTCATATTATAATGTAATCTTTGGTTAGTCCGTTTCTTCTTGTTTGGAACAAAGTTCCCAAATTCATTTCTTTCAACAAACAGCACAGCTTAAGTCAAACAATCCAACAGGCAATCTTCTGTTTGCATCTTCTGTTTGCTGCAATCCAACAGGCGCGTCTTCTGTTTGCTGCAATCCAACACGCGCATCTTCTGTTTGCTGCAATCCAACACGTGCATCTTCTGTTTGCTACCACAATTGCTCTGTCACCTCACTAAGCACTTATTATAGATTGAGTGACAGGTCAAACTTGGATATGTGAAAAAGAGTCTTGTGAAAATATCTGAGTCTGAGATCTATCATTTCTTAAAT